TTTATGCTAATTTTAGCTTTTTCAGCTAATTCCACATTTTTAGCACTCATTTTAACTTTTTCAGCCTAATTAAGCAAATATGTGCTCTCTCCACTTCCTTCTGCTAATTTAAGCTTCTTTCTGCTGTTTTAGCTACTTTTCAACTGTTTTTTTTTTTGCTAATTTCATCTGGGCATGCTTTCTTGGGCTAATTTAAGCTTGTTCTAACTATTCAGCTACCTTTTAAGCACATTTTAACTAATTTCAGCTTTTTTCAGATAAATATAAGATTTTCTTCGTAATTTCAGTTTTTTTTTTTCAGCCTAAATAAATTATTTCTGCTCTTTTCAGCTTTTTTATGCTAGTTTTAGATATTTCAGCTACTATTTAGTTGTTTATTCTAATTTTAGTGTTTTTCAGCTAATTCCACATTTTTTGCGCTTGTTAAACTTTTTTCAGCCTAATTCAGCAAAAATATGCTCTCTCAACTTCCTTTTGGTAATTTAAGCTTCTTTCTGCTATTTTAGCCACTTTTCTTTTTTTGTTGTTGCAAATTTAAATTTTTTTCAGATAATTTCCATAATAATAATTTCAGCTAATAAATTTTCAGCTACCTTTTTTTAGCATTTTTAGCTAATTGAGCTATTTTTTTTTTTTTTTTTTTTTTTCATGGTAATTTCTGCTACTTTCAAACTAATTAAATTATTTATGCCAATTTAAGCTTGTTATGCTCCTTTCAGCGTTTTTCTGCTATTTCAGCTACAGCTACTATTTAGCTGTTTTTATGCTAATTATAGCTTTTCAGCTAATTTCACTTTTTTTTATAGCTCATTTCATTGTTTTCCACTTCCTTCTTTAAACTTCATTCTGCCTTTTCAGCTATTCTTTGCTAATTTCAGCTTCTTTTTTAGCTAATTTCCTATTTTTTTGTAGTAATTTCTGCGTATTTAAACCTAATTCAGCAAATATGTATTCTTTCTCTTCTGGAAATTTAGGCTTGTTTTTCCATTTCAGCTACGTTTCAGCTGTTTTTCAGCCAATTCTTCTGCAGTCAGCATTCACACTTCATTTTCGCAGGACATGCAGTTTCTCTCATTTTAAATATAAGAGCAATGGCCCGGTCAGAATAATGTGTGATTACTGTAGCGTACTTTTGATTTTTAACATTTAGATTTATTTAATTAATTAACTTCAGTTTTAGTTTTTCCCCATAAAAATAAATTATGTCTTTAATTCATTTAAATAATTGTTTTCATTGAAATCTTCAGCACAGATGCTCCAGTTTTCTTTCCTTTCTGTCTTTGTCCTTTAGGTACTTCTTAGTTAATTTAAACTTTGATGAGATTTAGCTCATTATAATTTTAAACTACAGATTTGCTACATTTAGCTTTTATCTGTTAATATTAGCTCTTGGCTACAAATATGTTAATTTTTAGCTTTTATTTACAATCGTGGTATTTTAACTTTCCACTACTGTTTAGCTATTTTTGTTTAGAGCTATGATTAGCTTTTAGCTTTTTAACTATATTTAGCTTCTGTTTAGTTAGTTTTTGCATCTAACAACTATTTTGCTCATCTTAGATTTTTGCAATGTTAATTTTTGGGTTTTAGCTAGGGGGTTGCTAAATTTAGCCTTTAGCTGTGCATTTTAGCTTATAACTGTTTTTTGTCATTTTTATTTTCAGCTACTCTTTTGCAAATTGTAGCCTTTAGCTTTACTTATATTAGCTTTTAGTCACTGTTTTGCAGATTTTTAGCTTCTATTCGGCTTGTTTTGCCTTTTAACACTTTACCGTTCAACAAATTGCAGCTCTCGCGCTGCACGGGTGCAGAAAACGTAACGATCCGATAAAGTTTTGTCGTTCCTCTGACAGAATCAAGATCCTGGACTTGTTCTCCGAGCAGCTGCTGGACTCTGTCTTCTCTCGGCTCATCGAGCCGCCGGCCGAAGGGAGCTTGGACACGGCCCGGCAGCACCTGCAGGACATGGGGGCTCTGACGGCGGACGAGAAGCTGACCCCGCTGGGCTACCACCTGGCCTGCCTGCCCGTCGACGTGCGCATCGGAAAACTCATGCTGTTCGGCGCCATCTTCCGCTGCCTCGACCCCGCGCTCACCATCGCCGCCAGCCTCGCCTTCAAATCACCGTTTGTAAGCAGCAGCTCCGACATCGTGCTGAATCGTTTATGACAAGAACCGAACAAACTGCTGGTCTGGTTCCAGGTGTCTCCGTGGGGCAAGCAAGAGGAGGCCAACGAGAGGAAACGGGACTTTGCCGTGTCCAACAGTGACCATCTGGCTTTGCTGCAGGCGTACGAGGTACACATGGTGCTGCTTATCGGCCCCTGTCTGTCTGTGGTAGTAGCTGAGAGTCATTCGCAACATGTTCTCTGAGCTAATCGTTGTAAGATGACTGTAGTTCAAAGCTCCTGGCGGGCGTCACGCGTGTCGTCTCTCCTGCAGGGTTGGTGCACCGCTGCGAAGACCAGTAGCCACGCTGGCTTCCGCTTCTGCAGGGACAACTTCCTGTCGTCGCGCAGTCTGCAGGTCGGCCTCGCTCACAGCGTCAAATTAAAATCAACCCGTTTCATACGGAGAGCGTGAAGTTTGTTTTACGCCTGCAGGAGATCTCCAGCCTGAAGCGGCAGTTTGCTGAGCTGCTGTCTGACATCGGCTTCGTTAAAAAAGGACTGAGAGCCAGGGTTATTGAACGGATGTCCTCAAAGGGCGCAGATGGTGTTTTGGAGGCTACTGGACCAGAGGTGAAACAAATACACGTTGAAACTGTGTTTTAATCTTTAAATTTGACAAGAACTTTCTGAAAAAGGTCAATATTTTGCCTCCCAGGCCAACCTAAACTCCAAAAACATGCAGCTGATGTCCGCCATGCTGTGTGCAGCTCTCTATCCTAACGTGGTGCAGGTGGGCCTTCATCGTTCGTGCTCTTTGAGTAAAAACTGAAAACTCTCCTCACGCTCCATAATCCTGCGTTTGATCCAGGTTCGAGCTCCTCAGGCGAGTTATAAGATGACCAGCAAAGGGGCGGTGAAGATGCCGCAGAAAGCCAGCGAGCTGCAGTTTGTGACCAAAAGCGACGGCTGCGTCCACATTCACCCCTCGTCTGTCAACTTCAAGGTGAGAGGAAAACAAACGGAACGAATAAAACTAATCAGAGGAGCCAGTCTGAGGTTTTTCTTTGTGCGCCACAGGTTCGCCACTACGACAGCCCCTACCTGCTTTATCACGAGAAGGTGAAGACGAGCCGCGTCTTCATCAGGGACTGCAGCATGGTGTCCGTCTACCCACTGGTGCTGCTGGGAGGAGGTCAGGTCAACGTGAAGCTGGGGGGAGGAGGGTTTGTCATCTCGCTGGATGACGGATGGATCCAATTTGCCGCAGCTTCACATCAGGTCAGAGAAACGATCGTTTGGACTTCAAGAATTAATTTCAGACGCATTTCAGCTGGTTGGAAAAGAGAACTTTGATCTGAGCTGGATGTGGCGCAAATATCTCTTTTGTTGTGTGAACGTTTCTGAAGCAGTCGCTCTACTGTCGTTCATTTTTCTTCCGTAAGTTTTTCGGCGCGATTCTCGTCCCACAGTTTTTAAGCTGTTTCAACAAACCATAAATCAAAACGTTCAGCTCTTCCAGGACAATCCTGCTGATGTTTGGTATTGGTGAAGCTTTAGCTTTTTGAAATATTTAGCCTTTTTTCTGCCGTTTTTTTTTTTTCTAAAAGAAGATTAACTGAGCTCATTTTACATCCTTCAGATCTTTAGCTCCGTTTACAATCTTTGACTGCTCCTTTCACATTTTGTTCTACTTCAGCTTATTTGCGCAAATTTAAACTTTTTTTAGCTACTTTCAGCTGTTTTGTGCTCATTTCAGCTTCTTTCTAATAACTACACTTTATTTTTTACTTCTTCTAGCTTATTTCTGCAAGTTTCAGCATTTTCTGCAGTTTCAGCTACTATTAACTGTTTTTATGCTAATTTAAGCTTTTTCATTTATTCCATATTTTCTGCACTCATTTCAACTTTTTTCAGCTAAAATGTGCCCTCTCCACTTCCTTCTTGTAATTTAAGCTTCTTTATGCTTTTAGATACTTTTCAGCTGTTTTTTCAGCCTAACTGGGCAAATTGTGTTCTTTCTGCTTTTTACTGCTAATTTAAGCTTGTTCAAACTTTTCAGCTGCATTTTTAGCCAATTTCAATTTTTTTGTGGTAATTTTTGCCATTTTCAGCCCAATTAATTTCAGCTTATGCTCCTTTCATTTATTTTTTCTGCTAGTTTCTGCAATTGTAGCAACTATTTGTTTTTATGCTAAATTTAACTTTTTCAGCTAATTCCACCTTTTAAAATACAATTAATTTTTTTTTTAATCTCTTTACACTTCAGGTAGTTTAAGCTTCTTTCTGCCTTTTCAGCTATTTTTGCAAATTTCAGCCTTTTTTAAGCCAATTTCCTATTTTTTGTTAATTCCAGCTTATTTAAACCTAATTCAACAAATATGTGCTCTTTCTGCTTCTGTTTTCAACATGTTTTTTTTTTTCTTTTAGCTAATTTCAGCTGTTTTTCAACAAGTTCTGCAATAAGTATTCACACTGCAGGAATACTTAGGAAATGCAGTTTCTCTACTTCATTTTTATTCTACATTTGAATGAATACTTTAAGGAAATGTTCAACAAGCTTTGAATTCAAGCATTCTTTAAGTGAAATAAATGTCATCAAATTAAATCAAGCACAGAAACGTGCTTGTTGTTTTTTTTTTTTGCTTGACAGTTGAACCCTTTGTCTCCCAGGTGGCTGAGCTGGTGAAGGAGCTGCGCTGGGAGCTGGACCAGCTGCTGGAGGATAAAATCAAGAACCCGAGCATGGACCTGTGCAGCTGCCCCCGCGGCTCCCGCATCATCCGCATGATCGTGCACCTCATCAGCACGCAGTAGCTGTGCTGCTGAACGCCTCGCTTCTGTTCCCTCAAGGCCTTGACACGCTGAGCTCTGCCGTGTAAACACCGGCGCCACCAAGTGACTCTTCTGATGTGATGTTCCATTTTCTGCACTAAAACAAGTTGAACGTACAGACAGGCGGGGGCGAGTCGTGTACTTGACTTAGTTTCACCATGTTGCCACATGGCACTTTATTACTATAAATAGGGCATTGAGACTCTTTAGGAATAATTCTGCTCTATGCAGCAGTTTTTGTATGCAGAACAATAATCTAGTTTTGATGCCAAACGACTCCTGTATGTGAAGATGTTTGGGTCCATATTGGATTCCTCAAGCTAAAATGACTGCATGTTTAGGCTGTGTTTGTGATGCACGAGTGCATGTTATCCAGCCGTTTCACATTTGCTGAATGTATTTCAACGACAAAAAGATGGCAGGACTACACTTTCACTGAAGGGCTCGAGATCAGGAGAACTTGGAAGTTGCCACCTTCTTTCACTCCTATGCAGTTCAGTCAGATAAAAGAAACAAAAGCTGGTTTGAGTTTCAGATTCTTTCTTGCTGTCATCAACTCATCGTTTTTAAGTTGTGAGATGAAATATAATCCCAGTGACTGTAAAGTGTAAGTGCCATTTTAAGTTTAGTTAAATGCCCCAAAATAAGTTCAAAAGGCTGCATCGGTGTCAGAGTTTAACAGGCTGTGAGAGGACAACCACTTCTCCATGTTGGTTTGCTTTGTCTCCATGACAACCGTGTGTAAACAAATAGGCGATCACTGCCTCAGCAGAAGACACTGTATCACCACTTTGTCAGTGCCAAACCTGCAGGTAAGAGCTCTAATTTGTATGATTTTCCAAAACTAATCTTCAGTTTGTTTTGTCCGTAAAGTCTTAAAACTGGAAGGTCATTGAAGTGCGTGTTTTTCAGATAATCGTCTCGGACAGAAACGTTACATCTTCATTACGGTAAACACTTTTATTAGACAGAACTACATTAAATCTTCAATCAAGTAAAGAAACTTTATTTGTAGCCAAACAAATCCAAGAAATCAAGGTCTCGCAGTTCCAAGTCTGTGAAGAAAACTGGGAGTCCAAAAAGTGTAAAAAAAGAAGTGCTCGTGCCAAATATGAGGAGGAGGAGGACGTGCTCGGCCCTGCAGCCATGGTGAACCTCTACTGCATTTCCACTCCATGCCTGGAGTTTGGATGGGCACACTCAGCTGAGATAAAAACTAAGAAAACGTAGATAAATTTTGCCAAAGTGTCGAACATATTTGTGCTTGGAGCTCGAATATACAGTTTTGAAAATAAACAGTGCCATTAAAACCTAATTCGGTAAAAAAAAAAAAAAGACGACTATTTCATTATTTGCAACTTTATTGAAAACAGATTGTGCCAAATTGGAAAAACGGTTTGGCAGTTGTTACACTGAAAGCTTGCAATTTATTTAACTTAATATCTTGAGTTGCAAACAAAGTCCATCAAACAGAACTCCGACTTGATCCCACGAGTGTTACTATACTTTATCAACTCTTTGCCCATTTTACTTTTGATAAAAAAAACAAAAAAACAATTTGAAGGTGTTTAGATTGATTCCTAAGAATGGATACAAATGCTATTCATGGCATCGTTTACATTTTCATCTGATTGTCGCTCATAATCCCATTTGTAAATGCATACACCATAAATAAAACAAAATATAGTTCAGAACATTTAAATAGTTTCTCTTTAAAATAAGTCTGATCTTGTAACATGGTCCCACTTTGTTCACTCTGGTGGCTTCTTCTTGGCCTCCACGTCCTTCTTGAAAGCTTCAATTTTCTTGGCTATGTTGGGAACCTAAGAAAATACAGCTTTTAGAGTAATAATCGTAACTTTAATAAACATTAGTACATTATTAAATTAGTCGATTAAACTAATCGTACTATGTTTTAGCTGTTATTTATAAGCCTGTATAAGTTTTTGGAATATTTTTCTATGTTCACCAGCTTTATGGAGCTTGAAAGGTTTTCTTTCATCACTCAAATCTTTGGTTGACGCTTAAGAAGTTATGTAGCTAGCTTATCATGCTAACAAAAAAAAAACAGTAAAAACTAGGAATATCGAGTTAGGAGGACAAATAAAATGACTAACTTCATAATTTTGAGCGAGGTACATCCCCACAATATTCCCCAACGTGAAGCCAGCCTGGAAAAAAAACCACATCAAATTTGAGGTTACAATTTTTGTAGCAGCAAAGTAAACAACTAGCAAAACAAGCACGTTATCTTTTAGCATTTGATGCTACTATTGTTTTGGATCTTGGCCAAATCGCCGACGTCAAACAACTCACCAAAAACTGCAACATGATGGAATAATTGAAGTTAGCTATTCGCTCTAAGAAAATAGAGTGAAATTGTAAAAACAAAAATCAGGTCGTTCAAAAAGTTCAGAACTGCAAAATTAGCCAAACCAGTTGGCTAACTGACGTAAATTCGTCAATAGAATTGTACGCATGCGCGGGAATTTACACTTTTGTACTCCTATGGGTAGTGTAGTCTTTTTCTCAGGTTTATCTCATGTTGTTGCCGGGTGTGGTCTCTGTTAGTGAACTACAACTCCCAGTTCGTGACAGACCCTCAAACAGCCGGCGCAGCTGCAATGATGGTTCCGGAGGGACATTGAATGACTTTGGCTGCATCACGATAAAGAAAGACTAAAATTTTAAATTAAAAACACGGGCATGGAGGCTCTTATTCCCGTAATAAATAAGCTTCAGGATGTGTTCAACACCGTGGGAGCGGATATCATACAACTGCCGCAAATTGCAGTTGTGGGGACTCAGGTAAATGCTCGGCTTGTGTGCACTGCATGCTAACGGCTACATAACCTTGTTTAATTGAGAATTAGTTACGAATAAACACTAGTGGTGAGACATATTTATTATATTCTTACTAATTTAATGATTCGAACGCAGTGAGGCCATTTGAAAATTCTAATTTTAAATTAACGTTAGCAGCAAATTTGCACAGGCACATGCATGGACATCTATTTTCATCACTTATCAAACATTATGGTGAAACTGGGCCTAAAAGCAAATCAGTGCCTGAGTAAAATTAGCCCATGCTAAAAGTTTATTAACTATTTGTTTGTGTTTTCAGAGCAGTGGAAAGAGCTCAGTTCTTGAGAGCCTGGTAGGCCGGGACCTGCTGCCCCGTGGGACTGGCATAGTCACCAGGAGACCCCTCATCCTCCAGCTGGTCCATGTAGATCCTGGAGACGCCAGGAAGAACGAGGATGGTGGTGGGTGTTCCTGTGGCTCTAATGTCATTGTTTGTTTTGGTTTTTCACGTTCTCTGTTTTAATAGATACACATGGTGTTGACCTGCAACCTTTGAATTTAGGTTTTCCAGATTTAAGAGCTATAGTTTGTGAAATAGAAAATAATTGGCTTGTTTTCTAATTTATGCTTGAGTGGAACATTTAACGGTGTTCAGGTTAAAATTTGCAAGCTTGCTATTCCAATATCACATTTCTTTTCTACATAGCTGCATTATTTCTGTCACTAAACGCCCCGATAGTGTCCTTTTGACTGCGAGTCCAAAAAGTGTAAAACAAACATAAAAAGATCAGGAGAACTTTAAAGTTCAAAGTATAAAATGTAAAAGGAAAAACCGTAACAAGAGCTAATCTATGAAATACGTGCAGCATTTCATTGCAGATTATAAACTAAAATCATATTTCAAAATAATGAACTAAATATGTTTTTGTCAACCCCTGAGAATAGTGTTAGGCAGAATTTCAGTATCTCATTCAATCTTTTAGCTCTTGGAGTGTTTGTTGTGATCCGCTCTCAGCTAGTACCACATCAGATTTTAGCTCGGTTGCTGTAAAAGTGGCTGAAGTATAGCCATTCTTGTGTCTAAAGTAGCTTAAATTAAACATTTTAAAAATTGTGTTAACTTCAGAATTGAATCAGTTAATGATTAATTTATTTCTGAGTTACATAAAAATCTCCCCAGAGGTTCATGAGGTATTTTGCTAACAAAACACAGATAATTAAACACACAGACGGGGCAAAAACTTTTTTTTTTTTTTTTTTGTGGCAGGTGATAATAAATTGCAAATGGGTCCGTCTCGGTAAATCAAATCAAACTTTATTTGTAAAGCGAACTTCAAGCATAGGGCATACCATAGTGTTTTGAAAAGAGGCAATACAGAAACACAAATAATAATAATAATAATAAAAAAAACTTAATCAAATGGTTTTGCAAATAGGGACGTTTAATTTAAAATATTCAAGTTTTCCGTCAGAACTAAAGGCAGTGTGTTTCATTGTCTTGGAGACAAATATTGAAGACGGCTTCTCTTGTTGTGGAAAATGTAGAACGTATGGCTGTTCCCTCGATCTGTACACTGAGCTTACTTCGTCTCTGACAAGTTGTGGACTGTTCTTATTTAGCACCTTTTTGTCTAACCAGGATGATCAAAGCGCCTCCTCACAATCCGTGCCCTCATTTACTCATCCACACACGTTCATTTAGCACTTTGCTCCAAGCTAACCTGACTAAATCACTCTATAGAGAATAATCAGCTTATTTTTATACACTTTTGGACACATCACATGCTTGAGTGGTTCAGTCGACGTGAGTGGACATTGTTAGAAATTGATCCTTTTGACTCTTGTTGTTAAACTGCGCTACATAATTTAAAATATAAATGTCTTATTTAATGATTAAATACCATTACAGTAGTCCAGCCTTCTGTTAAAATATAATATATGAGAGGGAAATAAAACGACTGATTGTTGGATCTGTGAGCTTGTAGCATTTATCCCTCTTGTGCTTCCGATAAATACATTTTTAAACACCTTACAGATATTGTCATTATTACCCAAAGGAGATGAGGTTTCTCCCCGTGAGTGCAGGTCAGGGATCCATTAAGATCAAAAGAGCCATTTATTCCCCTTTGTACTAAATAAAATATCTATGGAGCCACAAAACCTGCTAAAACTGCGATGATCAACTGGTGGCCCATGGCCCACTTCAAGCTTGTTGGAGGGGCTTTTCCAGCCAGTCGGTGTGATGTTATGAAACTAACATATCCAATTATTATTTATTGATATTTGTATATTTTAGGGCAAAATGGAAGTACTGGATAAAAAAAAAAAAAGAAAAAAAAATTTAATCAATTTTATAAAAATTCAAATGCTAATATTTAGGCTTATATGAGTTTTCTTTTTAATTGTGGAAACGATTCATAAAGTTTCCTGTTATGAAGTCAAGTTAAACATTAGTCCAATTTGTTGGATGGGTATGTAACCGACTTTTTAAATGCGAACAAATATTTCCTTTGACTTTGTTTTTTCTTTATTTTTTATTATCAAGTTGACTCACCATATTTCTTCTCAGCAACTTGCCTTAAAATGTATCCCCCCCCCCCCCCCCCCCACCAAAAAAAAAGCCACTGACGGACCAAAGAGCCACATGTGGCTCCAGAGCTGCAAGTTGTAAATCCCTAGTGTAGCTGGATTTTTATTGAAACTCTCAGAATGTAATCCTCGTTCGCACGGCCACAGCTGGTTAACATCTGTAGCTGACCCAATTCAAGATGGCCACCACAGAAGGGGTGTAACAGTACATTGATTTAAATCGATATATCGATTCAATGATTAATGATTCAATTTTATCTTGGCAAAACTAAAACATATATTCATATCGTCATCTTTAAAATAGACTTTTATTTTGAAATTCCTAAGGCACGTCTGTGTCACCATTTCCGTGCGCGGCTGCGCTCTGAGGCCGCCTCAGCAACATGGCAGACGAGGCAGAAAACGGATAATGATATTCAATCTCCTGCTGGATTTAAATCAACACTAGGAATATTTTGGATTCCAACAGAAGGACGGCTCAACAGACTAAACTCGTGTCGTATGCAACAGGTGCCAGTGTGAGTTAAAATACTCGGGAAACAACAAATTTGGTCGTTCACCTGAAGAAGAAACACGGCATTGATCGTCATGTTATGTAAGCTCAATATCTGTTTTTGTTTCTTTATAACTGAAAGGTAATCAGGACACTTTTAAGTTAACTGGTTTAAAAAAATGCACTAAAACATGAGAAATGTGAGACTACTGAACAGGTCATTTATTTTTATTTTTTCATTAATTAAGAAAAATGTTTTTTATTTAAATGCCTGTAATAACAGAAATAAAATGGTTAAATCATATTTGAATTGCTTTTGTAAATCTATCTTTTTATCAATTTTGTAAATCTATCTTTATATTATTTATTATATTTATATTTTAACATTTATGAGATGGGCATTTGATATTGCAATATATCGATCTCAGACTTGTGAATCGAATAAAATCAAAATTGTATCGGGACAGACTTTGTGATATCGAGAAAAATCGTATCGTCGTACAAACAAATCAATATAATATCGTATCGTGGTCAAGCTGGTGATGCCACGGTTAATGTGAACTAACCAACGCAGAAGTAACTTTACCTCAGTCAGTTTTACAGTTATTGAGCTAAAGGTTGATGTGGTAGTAGCTGAGGGTGATTCTCGAGACATTAACTAACTGATCACATTCATTTACAAAGTTTTGAGCAAAATGGCTACACCTCCATCCTTTGTCATTAGTTTAAAACTTAAATGGCGGGGG